GTTCTATTCCCAGGGGTCTGTCTGGGTGGAGTTTGTATGTTCTCCCCATGTTCAGGTGGGTTTTTCTCCTACAGTCCAAAGACATGCAACTGGCTTCTGGGAAAAGTGGCCCTGTTGTGAGGGTGTGTCTGTGCCCATGTGTGCCCAGTGATGGACTGGCTTCCATATCCCATATCCTACTGTACCTTGCACCTCTTGCTTGCCGGACTAGGTTCCGACTCCCCCCAAACCCATGTAGAAAAAGGACTCGCATCCTCAACTGAGGAAATAAGCAGAAGCTGCCAGTATTGCACAACTGGAGCGTGATGCAAAGCTATGCAAAGAAGGCGTCCATTGAGGAGTTATTTTAAGGCAGACCATCAGTGGTATTTAAATTCTGCGTTAATATAAACGGTCTACTGACTGCGGTCACTTACAGCGAAGAAGTGTCAAGAACAAGTCGTTAAGGAGGAAGAAAGCATGTGCTGTGCCAGGTCTTCTTCTGCCCGTAACTTTGCACCACTAATGAAGTTCCTCACAACCTCTGGACTTGAAGAAGCCTTTTCGGAACATAGACTTCACTCAGATAAGAGAAGATCACTTTAATAGCACTTTATTATTGAATACCCCAGCTTGCTCTCCACGAGACAGGCAGGCACACAGACAACAAGGGCAACACGTTCATGGTGTTGGGGGAGGGGGGACTGTACCGCTCTGCTGGTGACATGACTTTTGCACACTTCAGCCCCCTCAGACGACGCGATTCTGGAGAAAACCACAAACCCCTCATTTTTACCTCAAACGAAGGCCTGGGGATTATAAAGGATTACTGAACATCTGACGCCACGCATACTGTAGCTGCTGGTTGTTTTCGAGATTACAGCCAGGAAATCTCTTTATTTCTAGGCGACGCACATGAGACCACCGATGTGGTCTGCAGATATTTCACAAAACAGTATAAAAAAGTGCAACAAATCTCTCCGACTGATTTATACACCTTTCATTAAAAAGGTTTATAAAGCCAGGGAATTCACCTGGCTTTACCAGCCTGAATCCTTCCAAGGGATTAATTTTGAGAGACAATATACATGAAAATTATTTCAACCACTTTATAAAGAAAGAGAAACAAAACTCATGTTCAGGGATTATGGTCTACTGCATTAATCTAATGCCCTAAACAAGGCACCTCATATTTTTATGTGCCACTGCACTGCATATTAACTGATTACATACTTTGGAGGGCTTTTATTACGGTCTGATTATTTTAAGAACTTTTAGTTTCACTTTATTGAAAAGAAAAGCACCTCATAGAGATACCTCGCTGTATGAAGGAGGTTTTCCATATTTCCCAGAAACCCAGAACGAACCACAGTTTCAGTCTGCCAGTTATAAATTACAAAACCACTTTTAAGTACTTGATAGCAGATCCCCACTGCGAAAAAAGGAAGAAACAAAGTTGCTTTTAGCAGTTTGTATATGGTACGGTTATAAAGTCGGGAAACCATCACAGCAGCCCTGTTTGCATTCTGCAGGTGGGAATCCAAACTCTTTAAGTGCTCAGATGTGTTTGATAGTTAAAAGAAAT